GGGGGGGGGGGGGGGGGGGCTTGATTATTTTGACAAACTGGGTTTAAGTTGAGTCTTTTTCCATTACTAAGCTGGTAATTCTGGTGTTGGAAGTTGGTTCGGTGTGTTTCGGTCTTCTTGGAGGGCCTACCAGAGCGCTTCCTGTTTTGGTTGGGTCGTGTGTTTGTTGGCTGTCGGCCACACAGTTACAGCAGCTGGCAAATCCAGGCCGTTCATCCCCTGAAACAATTCACCTGAATCAGTTCTCAAAACAACTGACAGCTCAGGAAGAGCAAGCTGGCAGTGGAAGCATTGGTCTTTAGAAACAAAAAAAAATCCTTTCTCCTGCATGCCCTCACCCCCACTGGGAGAATCGAACCGTGACGCACTTGGCATCTTTCAGTCTCCCCCGCAACACACAGATGATTAAATCCTCACCAGCACATTAATATAGCCCAGACTTGTCTGTGTGCTTGGCCTTTTAAGTTGGTGCACAGCCTGTTTTCACCCATCAAGTACACCTTCTTTCAAAGTTGAACCTATATTCTGTTTTTAGGGTGACCCTGTGATCTATTGGGGGGCTAAAGGCTGCAGCCTTCCAGCTTGAGTGGCATCATGGGACAGGAGGGTGGGGAGGGCTGCTTGGAGTGTGGCTGAAATGTCAGAGGACGAAAGTGTTGCCTTTCAAAACAAGCTGGCATTTCCATCAAGGACAGGCTCTTCTGTCTGTTTGTGAAAGGGAAGATGGAAAAAGAGAAGCAGGTCTTGACATCTTGGCAAGCGTGCTCATCTCCTCGTCCCCCTGTGCCCTACCTGTTGTCCCTGATACAGTCTGCATCAGTTTTGTTTCTGTGGAATAAATAAGAGTCTTGGCTGCCAGACTGGAATGAGGTGAATGTTGGCAGCACACCATTAAAACAAACTACGCTGTTTTGAAAGGAGGTTCTGGTAGATTTAGTACTTATATATTTTTTTTTTTTAAGTTACATCTGCTGGGTACTGCTGCTGTCTGTGTCCTTCACTGCAACATTTTTATGCATCTGTTTTAGTTATTTAGCATCTATTCCTTTCTATGTGTTTTCAGTTGTCAGTAGTGAGTATAAATAAAAATAAAAGTACTGTACTTAAATACAGTTTTAATGTACTTGTAATGTACATTACACACCCATGACGAGCTTATACATTTTGATTTATTGTTATACATTCAACTATCCTAAAGTCGATTTTAAAATAGTTAAGATTTGCTCACCCATGACTTGTAAAAAAAAAAAAGACTGCTGCTTACATGTTCATCCATCTGTGTGAGTAAAATATGAAATGGACAGGAGCCATTCTGCTGCATAATGAGCACTTTACTTTTGATCCTTTAGGTACATTTAGCTGATAATACCATCAATTAATCAACTAATAATTTGGTCTGTAAAACACCAGAAAACACTGAAAATGCCTATTATAATATCTTAACCTTACAGCACAAAATGATGTCATCAAATGTCTTTTTTACAAATGGAGAGAGCAGGTTCTATCTACACTTTAATGCTTCAGTAAAACGTTGCCTGTGCATCGCTAAGATCCGAGGGGAGTGATGAGAGCGGGAAAGGGTGCGTGCGGTTGCTGCCGTGAGGTGAACAGGCCAGGTATAACAAGCTTTGTTTTCCATTGCTCGCTTTGGCCCGTAGCTATGCAGAGCAGGTCGTCCAGGTTACCTGTCTGCTCTGCAGGGAAACTTTGGCACAGCTTCCTCTCCTCTCCTAAAAACGATGCATGTGGCTGATGTTTTTCTGTGGCGCTCGAGTCCCAAACAGGTTGGTCTCGCCGGTACAGTTTCAGACCGAAGTTTGTGTAAAATGTGAGGTTTCAATTTAAAAAAAAACAAAAAACAAAACAAAAGGGTGCAGTAAAGTCCCAGGGTGAAAAGTGAAGGTATGCTGGAGAGGGTATTTGCTCATTTAAAGAGGCCAACATTTGACAATATGAGAATCCAGAGTCCAGGCCCATCTGGCAGCATCGGCCAGCTGCCACCATGTCTGCTTTGAGATCCGCGTCTGTAACTCAAAACGCTGAAGATGTGTGTTCCTGAAAGCCACCCAAGCTATTTGCAGAGGTGTTTACAGATCATGTGATTGTTAATGCTACATGCCTTCCACCACATGCACAGCCCATCAGGAACTCTTTGAACGCCGTCATAAATCATTGGCTTTAATTTCGTCTGTGCGGTAGCCTCGTCATAAACAAACTGCCTGTGATGGATTTTCAGGAGGGTCAATGGACTGAAACTCGCTAGGAGTAATTCAATAATTTGCTGAACTGGTCTGCGTCACATCACAGGCTTTGTCCTTTGCGTATGCGTTATGATTTAAATTAGTTTGAATTGTGGTCACAAGGTTGGATGAATATGCTAAAGTGTGTGTGTGTACGTAGCCAACAAGAGCGGGTGAACTGGAGTGTTTAAAGCAGTCGGTGTGCTAATGCTTCGAAACTCACATTATTCAGTCTGAGGCAAACCGTACAGTAGGAATGAAGTCAAACAGGAGGATTTTTGTACACTTTGTCCCAGTTTTTGTTTGAATGGACTTATGGCTAAAAGTTGTCTGGGTAAAGTGTTGGAATCCTGCTAATTACATAAAGGGATCCAACAAATAAGCAAACAGTGTAATCCTGTTAAGTCCCTCTGGCTGTGCTCCACACTGCAGTGGTGGGGCACGTTGCCACAGGTGCTTTAGGTTTGCTAATTACAGGAACGTCCTTAATGAAGTTAAAATGGGACTCTGAGTGAGGCAACAAGCTGAGAGGTTTACATCAGTGGCAGAGCAGGGTTAGTCATCGTGCTTCAGTTTCACTTCTGTCTGTTTGAGTTAAAGGTGCCGTGTTGAGATTTCTTGTGAACACACAGAAGTTTACAGTCAGTGTTTTTTTTTTCACCAAAATGCATTGTGTGAATCCTTGAGGTCTACAAAATGTGCCAAGTGCATTTAATTCCTCATAGAATGTAATTAAACTAAATTTGCAAAGCTAAAACAAAACAAACAAAACAACGCTCACATTCATATAAGTGATTTCTCGTGAGCATGTATGGGGATCCATTTGTAAAAACATTAGCTACTACTAGCAGTTAAAAACCCCACAGGGTACCTAAGTGTGATGAAGGTTTTAAATGTCCTGAAACAGAGGCTCTTGTCTGTTTTTGCCAAACAATTTCCTTCATCAACTTTTATTAGAAAGTCCAGTGATATTCAGGTGAATGTTGCAGTGTTTCTGAGCTTATTGGAAAAGAGGGACAGCGTGTGGAAGGACGAGGTGCAGTGATACCATCTGAAACACTAACAGACTCTTCTCTCTCTCCTTCCAGTTCCTGGTTAGCTGGGTCTCGGCTGCCCAGCTCCATCCCTCAGTCTCCGGGGCCTCTGTGGTGCTCCTGATGCCCCTCACCCACAACTGAAGATCCCGGGTGGGCGAGGGACTGTCAGGGATCACTCTCTCGGCGTGCTACTACACAAGGTGACAGTTCTCGACTTCACACAGCAACACAGAGCGCTGTAGTTTAACGTCTGTGAAGCTTCCTGGTAACATCTGCATATGTGAACCTATAATGCAACATACTGCTTAGCATAAAACAGCAGGGAAGTTGTGGTGAAGTTTTGGTTAGTGAATTTAATAGCAAAACTCGGCCACATTATTGTCACCTTAACTGCTGTGATACCAGAAGCACTGGCAGCTTGTGAATGTGATATTTAAACTGGGACTTGAAACGTTATGAAAAGAGAGCTGGTGATGATATAAGTCTTTGTCCCAGATTGGTATTTTTAAAGGCTTTTTATTTTAAGATGAAGTAAATTCTGTAAGAGCTAAATGGTTTTAAATGGTTTTAAATGGCAATACTGGAAAACAATACTTGAGGTAATAATTGTGTTAAGTGCTTCATCCCTCAGAGACCACTAAACACAGGAACACCTCACTAATGAGTTGTACCCTCATTCTGCAAATTCCCTTTTTTTTAAAAAAAAAAAAAAAAAAATGTTATTTGAGGTCGCATTAAAAATAAAATTGTGTTGGATGAAAGACATTGGCTTTTACTGACAAAGAATACTGTTATATAATAAAATACATCATAAAAATGATTGCATTTAGATC